GCTGAGAAGGAACCCGGCCATAATGGGAACCCCAAAAAAAGCAGCCCCAGAAGCATCCTGTGCTGAAGACAGTGCCATTTTATAAAGACTACTGCAAGGGACGTTGAGAGTTGAGCAAACCGAGGCAATATTGATTTTTGTCAACTCTACCTCCTCCGTAATCTGGCTGAACTGCACCGAAGAAGGAGGGAAAGTAAGTTAAAGTAAGGATGTCGCCATGATCCGTGCAGCGATCGCTAATAGCTTGGCCCAGAAGTCACTTACTCAGTTGCTCAACCACCGTACAGCAAGCTAATAATGAAAGTTATTATTATGCTTATATTACATTTCTATGCCACCCGAAGCCGAAGCTGTCTGGGGGGTTCACAGCATTTAAGTCACCCATCCAGATTTCAACCTGGCTCGACTCTGCTTAGCTTCCAAGATTAGGCAGGATCAGGCGCTTCAGGCTATGGGGAAGCATGCAGCTGGCCCTGCACAAGTCCTCTATGCTTTCCCTCTAAGCTGTTGGTCAGCACAAGATGTGATTCAACTACAGCTGCCCAGTGCGTCCACAACAGGGAAGCAAGGGCTGGAAGTAACCTCCAGGTTCATCTGGTCCAACTCCTTCCTCAGAGTAGGCTCTGCATGGGAGGTGTTGCTACAGCATCCATGGCAGGGGGCCCCCCAGCCTCTTCTTAAATACCTCCCACGAGGGAAAACCCGCCACCTCCCACGACAATCTGCTCCACCGTGGAAGGGCTCTCATTGCTAGGAAAGTTCTCCTTGTGTTAAGCTGCAATCTGCTTCTCTGCCAACTCCACCTGTTGGTTGCAGGCCTGCCCTCAGGTGAGAATGAGCCTGTTCCATCTTCTGCACGAGAGCCTTTCAGATTTTGAGGACATGCCCTCCCTCCCAGACACAGACTCAGGCCCTGTGAAGAGGGCACCAGCCCCAGCACCCACCAGGACTTTGAAGAAAAGAACCGGCTTGGCTGGGGTGTTGGGAGGACCCCGAAGTGGTTCACCCCTCCCCCTTGGCACCGTCTCCTTTGGGGCATCTCCTTGGCGGTCATCACCAGCCCATTTAGGATGGGCAGACAAAGGAGTCAGACTCAGCTGGAAGGCACCTGCTATCGGCTGGTCCTTTCCTCTGGCTGGTGCTTCTCGAAGGAGGAGGAGGAGTCCCAGTACAGCCAGTCGGGGCACAGGACTGGAAGGGCGGTGGTCCCAGCTTCCTCTCCCTACCCACAGGCCTCAGGTCTTCTGGAGCTCAGCTCAGGAAGATGAGCACCACAGCAAGCACAGTCTGCCAAGTGCTCTGAGCAGCCTGGTTTGTGGGGTTTGCTTCTGCTGCCCAGGTGTCCTCATCAGCTGCCACTCTTGGAGGGGTCAGTTGTGGGGCCGCTTTGTAGGAGCCTGGGCTTTGGCTCCAGAATCCAGCCCTAGCGGCAGCACCGGGGGGTACCTGGAGATGATCCCAGCAAAGGCACGAGGGGTCCAGGCAGAGAGAAAAGATGGGCTAGCACCTGAGAGGTCAAGTGCAGGAACACGAATGTAGCTAGGAAATGTACACACTTCAACTAGAGATGATATCTGAGTCTGTGTTTGGTCTGGGACACATGACCTGGGTATCATAGATCATAGAATAGTAGAGTTGGAAGGGGCCAAGAAAGCCACTGGGTTCAACCCCCTGCTCAGTGCAGGACACCAAGTTACACCATCCCACTCAGGTGGCTGTCCGTACTTTTTGAATGTCTCCAGTGTGGGAGAGCCCACCACCTCTCCAGGCAGCTGGTTTCACTCCCGTATTGTTCTGACAGTAAGAAACTTTTCCTGGTATTTAGCCTGAATCTGGATTGTCACAACCTGAGTTGATTATTCTGTGTCCTACACTCAGGTATCAGCGAGGAGAGATCTTGACCCTCCTCTTTGTGGCAGCCTTTGAGGTTCTTTTAGAGGGATCTCATGTCCCCCCTCAGCCTTCTCTTCTCAAGGCTGAACATGCCCAGTTCTCTCAGTCTCTCCTCACAAGGCAGTGCCTCCAAACTCCGGATCATTTTTGTTGCCCTCCGCTGGACCCTTTCTAATTTTTCTGCATCTTTCTTAAATTTTGGTGCCCAGAATGGGACACAGTATTCCAGGTGAGGTCTGACTAGTGAGGAGTATAGAGGAATTACTACTTCTCGTGATCTGGAAGTATTTACTTCTATTAATGCATCCCATAATGAGAGACCCCAGCAGAAAATATCACATCACTGTGGATGTACTGGCAATAACCTATCTCAGACACCCCAATTCTACATCCTACAGTTATTTTATTTCACAGACAGCGAAGGTAAAGAATTTTTCAAACCAGTTATTTTTTTCCTGCTGAGGGCTGGGGGATGCTTGAGAGGCCAACACAGGTTCACCACTGGAAATGTTTTCTGTATCGGTGTCAACAAACAGGTATTTATTTATTTTTTTATTATTCAATGTATATGCCACCCCACTAGCCATGGGCTCACTTTTGGGGTGGGGAAGGATGAGCAATGTACAGCAAAATCCTGAAAGGAGGAAAGAAAGAATTCTAATATACAGGATCATTTTCTTTACCTTATGCTGGAAATGTAATTTCATGTACATTGCTTACAATTATGGCAGAGGAATATTTTCTGATATCCGAGCAGAAGAATTATGTCCAATTCAAACAAAAAAAAAAACAAAACAAAACCCCACATTTTCTAAAAGTAATAAATACTTTAAACACTCATACAAACACGCTTTACATTTTGCTAGAGAGAAAAGCAGAAGGCAAATGGCCTTATAAAAGCAAAAGATGAATCAAGTGCCTTGGCATCAGCCACCCACTCTATCAGAACTGACCCACTGCAAAAATTAAAAAGCCTGCAAGGCGTACAGGATACCATCTCCACTCTCTCCACTTGAAATTGGGGTGAGAAGCATAGCTCCGAATGAGCAGCCTTTTTGCTTTTCCAAAGGCAGGGAATTTCCCTCTAGCAAAGGTTGGAAAAGGCAGAACCAGTGAGAAATATTTCAATTATTCAGTGAGAAATCAATATGGTGATTGGCAGAGGGTTCTGTTAAGGCCAATTTTAGTTTTTATGCACAGCCACAGCTTTGGGATATGAACACCCAAGTGTTTCGTTGCAGAACATGATGTTTCTCCACCTCTTTCTGAAGAGAAGAGTCTGGAAATATGCGTATTATAGCTGTTGGATAAAGACAAGGAACTGGATTTGGGCTGAGTGTGCTTAGGGATGGGGATTTTTGTTTGTTTGCTTTTTATTGCAAGCTTTTTATAGCAAGCTCTTGCGCCACTATGTGACCTGAAACTCAGTTATCCTTCAAGATTTGTGCTTCTCCAGTTGGAGTTCTTCAATCAAACATGTGCACAAAACAGTGTCTATTAGGGAAAATCACATTCAAAACTGCTTCTGAAAATTATGTATGGAAAAGGGAATGAAGGGAGAGAGATGCACACAAAAATGCTTCTGAATTTTCATGTGAACTTAGCACTGGCGATGCCAAAGTTCAGGATGGCTGAACTTAAGAGTGGAAGAAAAGGAAAGCAAGAGAAACCAGACAAATACAACTTAAAAACTATATGATTTGTCTGTTCATATTTCAGACTTCCACTATCCCATGCAGAACATATGATTAGCAACTAGAAGAGGGCATAGATCAAATCCAGCTTGTGGACGATCATCTTCTATCAAATTGCCCTATATAGAATCATCGAAGAGTTGAAAGGGGCCAGAAGGCCATTGAGTCCAACCCCCTGTTGCAGGCTGGTGTCTAATCTATATCTGGTTTCTTTTATTCTGTCTCCTACGCTCTGGAATGAACGAGAAGAGAACTTGTCCTTCCTCTTTGGGGCAGCCTTTCCGGTACTTGTAGGGGACTGTCACATCCCCTCTCAGTCTCCTCCCCTTAAGACTGAGCAAGTCCAGTTCTCTCACTCCCTCCTCATGAGGTTTTGCCTCCAGTTGCCAGATCATCCTTGCTGCCCTCCTCTGTATCCTTCCCAGCGTTTCTGCATCTTTTATAAAACTCAGGTGCCCAGAACTGGACACAGGACTCCAGGTGAGGTCTGACTAGTGCTGGGTACAGGGGGACTAGTACGTCACCTGTTTTGAAAGAGATGCCGCTGTCAACGGGGCCCAAAATGAGGACGACCCCATTTTGACTGGAGAGCCAGGTCCCACGGACTTATAAAAGCTGTGAGATCTCTGTTAGCAAAGAGCAGGCAAGCACACGACTGCAGCCTTGGGCTGAATCTGGAGTTGTGAACGCCACATCCCGGCTTTTGCGCCTCTTCATATATTGTGCCGTGTGCTCTGTGAACACACGTCCAGGCGTCTTGCCCTAAAAATCCACGAGTGCTTTTCCATGTCCATTATATTATAGATCATCATAATATTTGGTGATCTTTTGCACCTACAGCCATTTTACCCTGTGAAAAAGTAGGTCTATAGAGGGAAAAAAATCCATTCCAGCCATGAAAGCATCAGAGTTAATGCTCCATAAATCTATTCATCACAGTTATGAGATTTGCTCATGCAAGAGAACATTTATATGACCTTCATTAATCTGGTTTTAAAAACACCCACATAAAAAGAACGTTTTTTCCAGCTGCATAAAAAATAAGGCATCTTCTAAACCAATCCTTAAGGCATATTTTTAATAGCTAATTCACATTTATCTTTTTCAAGGGGGCTAACTGATAGGGAGATTTTCTGCTTGATGCTAAAATAAGAAGAAACTGTTTTTGATGGTTCTCCTTTCGGCTCATCAGACACTGCCTGCATTTTCACATTTTTGAACTTCTCTTTGTAATCCTATGATCTAGAAACTTGCTTTTAATAAAGAAAAATAAATCCTGCAACCTGTGTGAATTGGTTGCAAGAATGCAGATGGCTTGATCTCAGTTGATTAGTAAGGAAGGCAGCGAATTAACAAGTCAGATAACCATTCGATATACTCTTCCCCATATACATCTGATCAAAGCGGTCTTACCCTTTTCCTCAGGTTGCAGGTTAGTGTGAGGTTCCTTGAGAAGGAATTTGCAAAAGCAGTGTAAAAGTCCAGAACTTTCAGCAAGGCCTCCCGCTTGATAATGTGCAGATCGCAGTAGGTCAGTGCCCGTACGTTGGCGCATGCGTGGGCCAGCGTGGTCTCCTTCCAGAAAATATCACCAAACACATCGCCTTTACCTGGGAAAACAGTGGGGAAATTCAATTAAAACATGCTAATTATGTGCCATTCCGTCCCGGGCAACCTGCCATCGCATTCCCCATCAGAACTATGACAGCTCCAACGAATGAAGGGTGTTTTGCTGATGTAGGTTTTAGCTGGGATATTGATCTTTCCCATCAATGGAAGTTTTGAAGACTTGTATATGCTGTGGGTTAACCTGGATTTCTCTGGGCCAGCTTGCGATCTGCAAAGCATCCGTGTCCTTTTGGCTTCATAGTCTTGTGTTGTGCGTGCTTGGAGGCAAAACAGAGCGGTCTCTCCTCCCAGAGGACTTCCAGCGGGAAAGGGGCAGCGGGGCAGCAGCGAGGGAAGTGCCGGGAGTCACCGGGTGCTGCACACTGTTTTTGTGATCGTATGTTGCTGAACTTGCACCAAATTTGACAGCGACCTGGGTGCACCCCAAGAAGCGCAGTGACTCTGATCAGATGAGGAGCAGGGAGGAAGCTGTTGTGGGGACTGAGAACAGGGAGAAGAGCAGAAACATGGGTGAGGGCATTGCACCGTGCGCCAGTTGGGTGTAGTGGTTAAGAGTGTGGGTTTGGGACACAGGAGACCAGGGTCCGAGTCCCCACATAGCCATGGGTGACTCTGAGCCAGTCACAGACTCTCAGCCCAACCTACCTCGCAGGGCTGTTGTTATGAGGATAAGACTGAGAAGAGGAGGAGGAGAATGATGTGAGCTGCCTTGAGTTCCTTGGAAGGAAAGAAGGTGACTTGTAAATGTAAAGGCTGACAGATAGGGGAAAAGGTGACATATACACCTTCTTCATTCTTGTTATATACGTTAAGCGCCCCGATTGTGGAACACGCTCCCCAGAGAGGTTTGCCTGGCACCAGCGCTTCTTTCCTTTCAGCATCAGGCGAAAACCATTTTAGTCTCCCAGTATTCTAATTGTGAACTTGTTTTATTTAGTGGCTTTATATTTTAACATCGGATGCTGTGCGACTGCTACTCTCATTTCTATTTTTATTTTATTGTGCTAATCCATTGTAAACCGTCCCGAGACGTCTGGGATGGGACAGTACAGAAAAGTTTTAAATAAATAAATGATTAGTGAGCTCGTCCTCCTGGTGGATCCTGAAGAAGCAAAACCAAACCTGTCCACACACACACGAGGCATTAGCAGGCTGAGGGATCCCCAAGACCTTGCAGAAGAATACAAAAGTCTTGGGGGAAGCCACTAAGAAGGGGACCCCAAAACAGCTGGATGAGGATTGCACATGTGCTATTGGCACACCGTGCTGTAGGGAGAGGGGTAGACCCAGGAAACCAGAGGGTGAGGACAGTGAATGGAGCACCTGGAAAGGGGCGCAACAGATGAGCTGCCAGCTTGGCCAAAAGCACTTCGTACTGCAACATTTTGTTGCCGCATGTCCCTTCGATGCCAGTCGTCTGGCGCTCCTGCCACTGGTATCTTTAGTGCCGCATCAATCTAACAAAGCCCTTGCATTGTTAAATGAGTATTCTGACCCTGTTTTATTATTTCTGGATGTATAAAAATATTTACACCCTGACGTTTGTACAGAAGCGCTTCAAGGCCAGCTTCTAATATAAAAAAGAGACATGAATTAAAAGCGCAAAAACTATACGATTCTTTAAAAGCAGCAATAACTGCGATACAGCAAGATGCAAACGACAACAATCTGAGAGGCTGTAGTTCAGAGGAGCCCTGGAGCTGCTGAAATAAAACAGTCTTAATTTGCCATAACGAAGGATCGGGATTAATGTAGCCTAAGAGGAGTGAAATGAGCCCTGCTGGAAAAGACCCCATGTTGTTTGGGCCCAGGCATGCTATTCCGTCCTATGTAGTTTTACCCTGAAGGGAGCCCCACTGAGTGCATGCATTAATTAGACTTGTAACCTGCCTTTTCCTTGCAAGGAACTGAAGGCCCCTTGCGTAATCCTCCTCCTCCTCCTCTCTGTCCGATCCTCACAACAACCCTGTGAGGTAGGTCAGGCTGAGAATCAGAGACTGGCCCACCTAGTCAGTTGCATGCCAAGTGGGCATGAGGACCCAGGTCTCCTGAGTCCCGGTCTAATGACTACCCACAGCATCTCTCAGTTTCCTGAGACTTGCATGCAAGGACTTAGGCATAGAACCGGGACCCAAGACTGCCAATTATGTTCCGCATTGGTGCTTCATTCCCTCTCCTCTACTGGGGATAATGCTATTTGAATAAAGCCCAGCTGTCTTTCTTGAATGCAAGACTTCGATACGAAACAAACAGTTCCTTAACTCTCTGCATCCCCAGCCACTGGCTGTGTTGGCTACAGCTGATTGGAGTTGTAGTCCGAATCATCCAGCAGGTGCCGGGCTGGGGACAGGATTAGAGCTCAAGGTGGCAACTATTTTTATGACTTTGGGGCCCATTATGGCCAGTCCCAAGCAATACCCAGGGTTAAGCAAATTCTTGCATAAATCAAGAGATCTTGCCAGATATTAGATTTGACACTTATACTGCTCTTTCAAAGATGCATAGAATATACACAGCCTTGGAAATAAATATTTATGGAGCTTCCCAGAGAAACTGGAATATGTTTCACCTCATTTAATTCACCAACTGCTGCATTAAAAATAGCCAACGTTCCAAACTGCTGCAGAATAGCAAACTGCCGAGCAGGCATCTGCTTAATTTTTTTTTAATTAGTAGCCTGCCAAAAGTGGGGAGATGGATCCTCATTTGCACACAAGGCAAATCAATACAACAACAAAAAGAACAGGTATACCATGATGTGCAGTTTTACCATTGAAAAAAAGTGGTGCGTTGTACAGTGAAGAAACTGAAGTTGCGAAAGAGACTCGGATGCACCTGGGAAGAATTTGGATTCAAGCTGCACGCAGCCTGACGGGGTGCAGGAAGACGGCTTCAGGAGCTGTCCGTACCCATTTCAAAGACAGAGAACAATGTTGCTTGTCACCAGTGAGGCCTCAGACACCAGGCTGAAGGGGCAAACAGAAGCACGCCACCTCGCCCAGCCTCGCACTTTACACAGAGTTGCACTGCATTGCTACAGAAGCTACACGAACATGCTCGGAATTGGCACTCTGCACATATACATCAGCGCATGCCTATTTTATGCACATCCACGTCTTCTTTCGTCCTCTTTTTGGGTGATGGGTTTCCTCGGGGATTTGTGTGCGGCCACCCTAGCCAAAGTGCAGCTGGAGCAAGGCAAGAGCTGCCTCCGTTAGCAGGCGCTCTGTCCTCTTCCTCCTGTTTTCTTTCTCCAGCAGGAACATATTCAACACAAGATACCAACGAAGTTGGCAAGGTGGTTCTCAGAAGGCACAATAAAGACTGCAGAAGAGAAGGGGGAAGCAAAAGCCATTGGTGACAGGGAAGAAGTCGGAAGACTCAATGCGAAGTTCCAGAGAGAGGCAAGAAGAGATCAAGAAAGTAGTGGGTTGCACGATGCAAGAAATTAAAGGAAGCAGCCAAGAGAGGTCATACAAGACGGAGTTCCACTGATGTGAAGAAGGCCAGAAATCCCTTGATGGCCAGAAAGGCCATGGTCAGAAGACATGATGGGCAGGAATAGTATGACCCACAAGCAATCAGAGAAAGATGGTGAGAGCCAGCGTGCTGTGGTGGTTAAGAGCTGGGACTGGGACTCAGGCGATCTGGGTTCGAGTCCCCGCTCAGCCATGGAGCCAACTGGGTGACTCTGGGCCAGGCACAGACTCTCAGCCCAGCCTACCTCACAGGGCTGTTGTTGTGGGGATATGATGGGGGGGAGAATGATGTAAGCTGCCTTGAGCCCTTCGTAGGAAAAAGGCAGGCTATAAATTGAAAAATAAATAAATAAATACAATATGTAGAACAACTTTACACAAATGAGAATCAAGGCCAAGCTGTAAGAGAAGAAGCTGTTCTAACAGAGCTGGAACCAGATATCCTGGAGGAGGAAGCAGTGTGGGCACTCAACCAGTGGCCTAACCGCAAAATTCCAGCAGAGTAGCTGAGACCACTGCCAACAAAAGCAGTGACAGTGCTTTGCCAAACTGTCTGGAAATCTGGTTAGTCGCCAAAAGAATAGAAAAGGTCAGTTTTCATCCCAGTACCAAAGAAGGGTGATGCGAAAGATGGCTCCAGCCACCAAACCACAGCCTTGATATCACACATGAGTAAGCTCCTCTTGAAGATAATCCAACAACGTTTGAACACAACCACCGGCAGAGAACTGCCTGATGTACAAGTGGGATTTTGTAAGGGAGAGGAATGTGGGATCACATTGTCAATCTGCACTGGATGATGGAAAAAGCAAGGGAATACCAAAAAGACCTCCACGTGTGTTTCACTGACTATACAAAAGACTGTGTTGACCATGACAAGCTCTGGAACTGCCTCAAAGAACTGGGAATATCAACACACCACACCCCGCAACTTCAGTCACTGTACTCTGATCAGGAAGCCGCTGCAAGAACGAAATGGTTCAGAATTGGAAAAGGCACTCGGCAAGGTTGCATCCTGTCACCTCCACTATTCAACATACACACAGAAATAGTTGTGAGTAATGCACATTGGGAAGAAACTTCCATTGGGGTCAAAATTGGCAGTAGGAATATTAACAACCTCCGATATGCAGATGATACAACTCTGCTCACTGAAAGCAAAGAAGAACTGGAGTGGCTAATTGTTAGAGTCAAAAATGAAAGCAAAAAATTTGGATTGCACATTAACATCAAGAAAACAAAAATAGCAACAACTGCAGAGAGCACTCGGGTCAGAGTGCAGTTTGACAATGAGACCAGTGAAACAGGAAAGGAATTCAGCTTCCTGGGATCTAAAGTTGACCAACGTGGAGACCACAGTCCTGAGATCAGAAGGCGCATAGCGCTTGGAAGAAACGGAATGTCCAGCATGAATAACATCTGGAAGAGTGAAAGCATCAACCTCTCTACCAAATGCAGACTAGTCAGCTCAATAATTTTTCCAATTGCCACATATGGCTGTA